GAAGAGCGGCAGCGTCCCTTGGGTTGCAACCAGTTTCGAACAGTTCGACGGAAACCAGTCGAGCGAGAGGAAAAGAGCGGGAAGAGAAAAGAGGAGCGCTCTCTCGTTCGCAGAAGGGACTTACGGACACTTGGCCGCTCAATGGCGCGAATTTAAGAGCGCCAGCCGTTACGCTTCTCATTCGTTAGCATAAATTAATTATTTTTTCAGGGATGTGGCAGTGGAGGAAGAGGACTGTAGCCAGGGGCGGTCTGGCCTCGCTAAAGATCCCAAGCCCCGGACGTTCGTTGCTTGATGGCTTGTTGCTTGGGCGCGCGGAAATCGAGACGCCGCATTGCGGACCTCACGGTTGATTGTCCTCCGTCAGAATGTTAAGGCCCATTAAATAAAATGCGTATCTGTAGTCGTACTAACCGCTGGCTATAAGAATTCTTGAATGGATTTACACTCCATCTTCGTTTAGTGCAAATTTGATGAAAGACAATTTCTTTTAATTTTCAATTTTCAATCTTATATATTTTGATAATTAAGAATTAAGTTGAAATATTATTAAATTGAGATCTGTTGATAATCGAGAAATAAAACTTATGCATAAAATCTTTAATACTTAACAAGAATAACACAAAAGTTACTGTGCGAAATACATCTCAATATTCAAATAATTATTCAAATATATATATAATTGTTAGTACAGTTCGTAATATTTATTCCAAAAAAAATTTAATTTATATATATAATGGGATTAAGAATAAATATTACTTTAATTATAATATCAATACGTTATATATATATCATGTATATAGATATAAGCTGATAAGAACTTTGACGATTTGAAAAAGAGGTTTTACATCTTACATCTGAAATCTGCCGGTGACACGAACCTCGATAAAATTAACGGTTTACTTTCGTGATTCAATGACCAGTTGAAATACTGCATTAGCGCGACCATACGACATATCGCTTTCGAAATCGTAGTGGATAGGTTTTGAGGTCGCGTCCAGTTCGTGCGCGCGCAATAAGCGAAGTGGGCTTAGATTGGGCTAATTAATTAATGCGCACGTCCTGTCCCATCCCGCCTAATTATCCCGCTTGTCAGCTCTACTACCGTCGTTCGCTACGCCGTTAACGCGCGTCTCTTCGTTTCTCGTGTTCTGGCGTGTAACCGCCGGCCGCGTCTCTCTCGCTCGTAATTATAATCGGGCTAATTGTGACGTCAGACAGGAAGCTACACCTAGAAAAATCCTGTCTGACGTACGTACGCGGCTCGCGTGAAGCCCGCAGCGGCATACATCCTATGATCGTTCTCCGGGATCGTGATCTGATGCTGATGCAGATGCACGCCCACGAAGATAAGTTCGGATGATCTAAGTTTTGTTTGTACTTATTGGAAATTTGTGCGGCACGAGTGTGCCAGTTACGCTTTCACGAATACACAGTCCTTATTTTGAAGGGAACATCATTTAATTGGCTCGATTTTTTATGTGAGCACTTGAACATTTATAATAATCGTGTTAATTATCATTTTGGTAATTTAAAGTTTTCTTTTATATTCATATAATTTATATTCGTATTTAAATATTATTATGAATGTTTCCAATTTTTATGAAAATATCTTTTTTGTATTAATATATTTTAATTTATATAATTTCAAAATTATGTAATTCTTTGCTCTATTGTAAGAAATAATATTGATTTTTTTATCATAAAATGATAATGTTTTCTAAAGTTTTATACAAATATTAGGAAAAAATTATATAGAGAAGCCCATTGCGTTCTCGAAACGTCCGCTATAACGTATATTTATATCCGTAACAATAATGTATACGACATTATCTCGCTCGTTACACTTGCCGATCGAAAAAATTATTCAACGTCGAGGATAGAGCGTTCGCATTTTCCGCCATGTAGTTTACCAGCGCAGATAATTAGCGTTACTGCAGGCTCTCGGATGCGCCTCTTTGCAAATAGCTTCGAATCTCGCGGTTCATTAATTTCGAAGAATCCACGTGCGCGCAGCCGTTCTCTCGCGACTCGACGGAAGCGTTATGGGTCGCAGTAAAAGAACCGTCTCTCTAGCCTCCGGCCTCCGGTAGGCTCAAATTTGAATTGGCGATCGCATCGATGATCGCTTGGCACGATGGGAAAAAAGCAGCGATGCGTATCTAGTCTCGCTCACCGGTGATAGTTATGTACGTAACAGTAGCTATACAGGGTGTCAAAGATCAACTATCTTACTTATTGCAAAATTCGCGAAGAAATTTGTCGAAAAATTAAGAACAAATTTGATATAAATAGTGCATACATATTATTACGTTTTTTATATTTTTAAATATATTTAATATTATTGCGTATTTTTTATTTTTTTTTTTTTTATTAATGATTACAGTAGTAAAATGTACTTTCTAGCAAGTATATACTGTGTATTTATTCACTATCCATTTGATAGCGTAAATGTAAATTAAGTATTAGTATCTACTGCGATTGCAAATTTCTATTAAATTACTAGTCGAGAATTCCATATACGATATGTTTAACGATTATTATAGTAAATTAAAGCGGGATACGATAGTAGCGTGATACGGAGTGGCAATATGTTATTTTAATTTAAAATTACGCTCGTGATAATGCCACGCCCACGTTCACCACTTGCCAACTGGTCTCGATGCGTATGGTGCACATACGTGCATACGTGTATACGTATACATGGGAATGCATATCGAGTACGCCGCGGCGCGTCTTCGATTCTGCGAGAAGGTGCCTGGAATTTGAATGAATAAGCATGGAGATCGTGGCGCAAGTCGAGGGAGGAATAGTAGAAAAAAGACGAGCGTGGTGAAGAGCGAAGATGAATTATGGAGGAATGCGGCGAAAGATGTTCCGCTTCTCGATTTGCTCACGCGTTTTCCCACAGTTACAGATAAGCGACTTCCGTAACAATTGAATAATTTCAGAATAAGAAAAATAAATTAAAAAAACGATTATGCTTGCAACTTTAATGCTTTGTTGAATCTTATAATATTTGTTGCTACATGAAGTAAGAAATTATTTTATGACAACGAAAATAAAATTCCAAACATTTCAAAGAAAAATTCAAGCTCTTGAATTCTAATTCAGACTATTTCGCTGACAATAAACAATAACTTTATATTTACACATTTCCTTAAAATTTTGAGCATACTTGCAGCAAAAATTCAAACTAATAAATTCACTAATATACTAAGTAAGACATGCAAAAATGATTACATACATATGTAAAATACGAGGGTCATTTCATAAGTAATGCACAATGTGCAATGTGGAAAAATTCTCCACTACAGCTGTCCAAAATTTCGTTGAGATTGCGTCATCCAACCCGCGGCGTTACCACATGTGCATTACTTATAAAATGACCTTCGTAATATGTAAATAATTCGAACTAAAGTTTGAGTTTTTGCGGTCCTTCACTATTGGTAATTTATATTTTCTCTTTCTAATGAAAAATTTAAAAATTCTGAGAGTATTAAACACAGCCTTTTGTATCTTTTAGACACAAATTGACCGAAGACGACAGCTAGGAATATATACATATGTATGATATATGTTCGCAACACGAGCAAGAATTCTGGACTATGACGATTATAATTCTTTCAAAGTTCTGACTCTTAGTAAACTATTCCTTTTCTATCATGAGAGATCATAGAAGTGCGTGTATTACTCAACATTATAATTCAAATCACTGTTACTTACCGGCACGATGCGCAATAGTAGGGTTGTAGCACACAATGTCGATCTGCAAAATATAATAAAAATATCTAAATTAAAATAATATCTAAAATATTTAATATTCCGAAAAATAATTATTAAACGCAATTAAATTTTTTATTTATATAAACAGATATTCAAGAAAGTGAAAATTTCTTCCAGAAAAAAATTTTGTGGAAAATTTTATGTGTATAAAATATAAATACAAAAATCTTATTCTTATATATAAATAATCCAAATTATTATAAATCTCTTAAGCAATATCGAGTAAATGTTAAAACACACATGGTTTATATATTTCATGATATCTGTCGCTCGAAAAGAGATTGTCATTTTTCCACTCCATTTTTTTGATAAAAAACAGAACAAGAGTGACAATTTTTTTTTTTTTTTGTACATAAAATATAAGTTTTAAAAACAGAGAGAAGAGAGACTTATTATTAGATATTATTCATTACTTTATAAATATACTTGCATTGTCGACTATGAAAACTTTGACAGAAAATTATCATATATATAATAGTACATACTAGTGACACAATATCTGTTTTTTTACAACCCCCCCCCCCCCCCC